AGTTAAGGCAGAACACCAAAAACCAGTTGGATTGTTAAATCCACTAGATATACCTGAATGGAAATGGGAAAATATTACAATGGACTTTGTAGTTGGATTCCCGAAGTCAGCAAGAGGAAATGATGCTATATGGGTAGTAGTGTGGATCGACTAACGAAGTCAGCTCATTTTCTTGCAGTGAAAATGACATTCAGTTTAGACCAATTGGCACAGTTGTACGTTAAAGAGGTTGTGAGACTACACGGTGTACCTGTATCCATTGTGTCTGACAGAGACCCAAGGTTCACGTCCAAATTTTGGAAAAGTCTACAAGAATCTATGGGAACGAAGCTGAACTTTAGTACAGCATATCACCCTCAGTCCAATGGTCAGTTTGAAAGGACCATCCAAACTTTGGAAGACATGCTGAGAGCATGTGTTTTGGATCTAGGAGGTAATTGAGAGTCATACTTACCTTTAGTAAAGTTCACTTATAATAACAGTTTTCAAGCAACTATTGGAATGGCACCATACGAAACTCTCTATGGTAGAAGATGTAGATCTCCTGTTCATTGGGATGAAGTCGGGGAGAAGAGAGTTTTGGGACCAGAAATGGTTGAAATGACGGTCGAGGTAATCGATAAGATCCGTGCAAGAATAAAGGCAGCACAGGATCAACAAAAGAGCTATGCAAATACAAGGAGGAAGGATTTAGAATTCCAAGTTGGGGATAAAGTGTTTTTGAAAGTAGCACCGATGAAAGGTGTACTTAGATTTGGAAAGAAATGCAAGCTACGACCCCGGTATATTGGACCTTTCGAGATACTTGATAGAGTTGGAAATGTGGCTTACCGACTAGCTTTGCCATCTGAATTATCGGCAGTGCACAATGTGTTCCATATATCGATGATAAAGAAGTATGTACATGATCCAAATCATGTAGTGAGTTATCAAACCTTGGAGATACAGAAAGATTTGTCGTAGAAGGAACTACCGATCAAGATATTGGATCGAAAAGTGCATAAACTAAGGAATAAAGAGATTCAGCTGGTTAAGATACAGTGGAATCATCACGGCGTAGAAGAAGTCACTTGGGAAAAAGAAGAAGAAGCCAAAGACAAATATCCAACACTATTCGCCCAATTAGAAGGTAAATTTCGAGGACAAAATTTTAATTAAGGTGTGGGGAATGTAGAACCACAAATAATTCTAGACACCTTAGTGGAACTAAGACATGAATATTGGATGACTAAAGTATACTTCAGATTTTTAGTCTCATTTGAGACCCATTTTCGACATAGGAAACGTTCGATTTGGAAAATTATATCTAAACAAAAGTTGTAGCTCGTTGAGTTAGCTTTCCAATGCATTTTGAATTACCTCAATCGGATATCGGAAGAAGAAGTTATGATAGAAACGCTGAAAGCTGTGCAGTGTCAACCTGACTACAACCAGTCGACCGAAACTGCCTGAAATGAAAATTCTCGTTTTTCTCTAGAATTCAAATATTTATTTTCAACAATTATTTTCTCAAAGGGCCACCCACATTTTTGGCAATAAAAACCCTACTAAATTGAAGCATTTAACCTCAAATTTAAATGACACCCATGTTTTCTCTCTTAAATGAAATTTGACCCTTCATTTGCTTTAAGTTATGGGATATTTATCTATAAATGGATATCTCATTTCACTCATTTTTTCTCACATCAAAAGCAAGAGCTTTTACATACTAAAGAAAGAGTTTCCAAGAGAGAAAAGGAGAGGGAGGAAAACTATTTTTCCTAGAAGTTTAAGAAGTGTTTTCAAGCATCAATTCTCAATGGTTTTCAAACATCCAAGGAGTGCATTTCTTTTAGCGTCCAAGTTTCATCAAAATTTTTAATCCAAGTTTTCAAAGTTTCAAAAGCATCAATCAAGGTAAGTAGAGGTGCAATGTGTTTAATCTTGTTAAGTTATAAGTTTCGATTCATGTTAAGGTTTGTATGTCAAATGGTACTTCGGTACGGTATACCCCTCTATGTTGAAGAAATGTTCGTATGTCAAATGGTGCCCTCAGGTACAGCATACCCCTTCATGTCAAATGGTGCCTCTGGGTACGGCATGTATGAAAAGTTATAAAGTTAATATTTTGAAATGTATAGTTTGATCACGAATGCACCTGTGACACCTATTGAGTTTTTCAACTCACGGGTTTAATCCCATCTTTACAGATTGAAGGAATTCTACGTCGGGCATGGATGGAGGAGAAGATGGAGAGTGATGCAACGAGCCCATGGAAATCCGGTGAATAAGTGATTTGGATTTATTTTTATGAAATGTTTTCCAATATTATTTCTTTAAAGCTTTGAATAACGCAGAATGCGAGAACAAGTTATGTTTTTTTCAAATAAATCACATTTTGTTGTTTTGAAAAATGATTCAGTGTTTTTGTTTAAAGTATTTGAAGTATTGTTATTTAAATTATTATCCGAATATGTAAGCTTCCGCTAAAACGTATATACTTATTACTAAACCACCGGTTAAGCTAAGTAAAGTAAGCAGCGTTTCGATCCACTAGGGGTTGGGGTGTTACAGGTAGAGACGTTTTGTACTAATTATTTGTCTATGATGATGATAATTAAATATTTGACCATCATTTTAAAACACATTAATAATATTTTTGGACGAAAATTATGATTTAGGACAATATTTTCTGGTTAATAAAATGTTAAAAATAAGAATACGATGAAGAAAAAAGTTAATAATATAAATGTCATAATGTATAAAGGTTAATGACAATCAATATAATTAAAATGTGGTGTATTTATTAAAAAAAAAAAAAAAGAGGTTGTGTGGATACAAACTCATTTTACTTTATTACTTGTCACAATTTGTACATTTGTGGAATCACATGATCATATACTTAGTTGAATTTTTCAAAATTAATTGATTTATATATCTCGAGTTCAAAAAACAATCCTACTTAATTAAATCACCTCATTATATCTCTGTATGAATTAGGGTAAGTAACAAGAGCATTTAATCACTGAATAATTTAATTAATTGTCACGATATCATAAAAATATAGTATCTATACATTTTTATTCAAATTGCAGACTTTTAATATGTGGACTAAACAAACGACTTATTTATCGACGTAATTATTATTCACAAATCAATGAATTGGTAATCAAGTAATTCAAAACATTAAGAGAAGAAGAAATAACAATTCAGAAACATAAATTAAAAATCTAAACATTAAAAATTAAAATTAGAGTTCAAAAATTAGGTTCAATATCTTGTTCTAACAAATTGTTTAATTACCTATCATGGGATAAGAAAAACACAATAAATAATTGGAGGATATCACCGAATTTTAAAAAAAGGGGGAAAAATGAAAATCTTACACCAAAAATCTTCTTCTTCGGATCCAAGAACTTCAAAATACTAGTATTTGATTTTTACCTTAGATTTTTCTCCCACCCTTCTTTCTAGTTTTCTCTCTATTTTTTTTTTTATGACCCCAATAGGGTCTATTTATATAGTTGGAAGAATTTAAGAAATTTTACTTCGAAAAAAGTCAAAATGGATCAAGAAAACAAAAAATGTACAGAAAAGAGCAGATTGGGTTAGGCGGGCCGACCCGAGCTGGTCCACGATCAAGATTGCAGTCCATAGTAGTTTACAAACTGCAGCTAACAGCAAAAATCGTGGTTGATTGTGGTTAACCTTAAACTTTTCAAAACGTTGTATTTTGGTCCCCAAATCAAGTTTTTGTCCAATTTTGGTCTCTCTACATCCCAAACTTCAATTTTAATGCCAAAACTATATTTCATACTGGTCTTCAGAATTCATAATCGTTCAAAATTGGCCCATTTAAAGTTCTAATAGTGCACAATTTAGTCCCCAAACTTTCAAAAAGTTGAATTTCATCTTCAAACTAGCAATTTTCTTCTATAGCTCTCCCTTTTACTTTTTATTACTCTTGTGTCATCTGATTATTCTTTTATTGCTTTGCACTGACTCTAGATTAGCTCAAAATCGCCCATTTTTGCACCAATTACATTCATATCCTGATTTGGCCTCCAATTAACAAAATTACACTAAATTATTAAATAATTGCACAAATAACATTACTGGCAAGCTTACTCTTGTCCTGTAGCTACTGCTTATCAACCAACAGACCGGCTACCAACAACAATCACTGAATCTTTTGAGCTTTCAGTTCTTCTTTCCCCACGTGAGGATAAGTGTGTAAAATACACTCATCAACTTATCTAACATAAGAAAAATTAGCACTCTTTTGGACCCTCTACCATCAATTATAGGAGCATATCTTCAAGAAGATTGTTGATTGAGATAGATATTAGACATGTTAATTCACTATCTACTCTCTTTGAATTAACTAGGCCAAGTTGAGTTTGACACTTCTAATACACATCTATCACACGACCTCGTCAATTATGACTTCTAAAACATTTTCCAGAGTCACACTTGAGAAGGTGTTAATCAACGGGCCCAAATAACTCTAATCCACACGTGACACATGGGCACTTCGCTTTGAATGCATAGGCCAAATTTGTCACCTCTAGCCATGATCGATTTCAAAACTCTCTCAATAGTCAAATTTGTTCAGTTTAATTTAATCCGTTGCATCCATGGGAATTGAATCTCGAAGAAGGCTTCATGCACAGAAGGAGGGGTCACAGAATCCCTCCTGAAAAGACAAGGAAGGGAATTTTTATTTTTATTTTTATTTTGAACTATTTTATTCACATGGGTCCTCATGTGAAATTTCTGTATTGTTTCTGTAAAATACATTTCTGTACAAATGGATTTTCTCTTGACATCTCAAAGTTAAGCCTATGGAGAATCTCAAATTGGATTTTAGACCAAGTTCCTTTGTCATTCAACTTTTTCTATGTTGATTCTTTCGTTGAGTTGCTAGAAATTGAGAGATTTCATGGTGGAAAAAAGTGGTACACAAGAAATTGAGTTGCACATATGTAAAAGAAAATTATGTTACAATTTTTACGAGTTGCTCATATATTTTTGGGTAAACATTGATCAGCTCTCTTTTCTATCCACGAAATTATAGTGTTAAACACTTGTACTGCACTGTCATTTGGTTCACCAATCAACTGGTGCCACATACCCTGGAAAATCTTCAAGCTCTTGTCCTTAGTATTTGCTGATTCATACAGGAATTTAGCTCCTTTAGGGTCACATATTCTGTCATCACCTCCATGCAAAACCAGCATAGCCACTTCTAATTCATGGCAATTCCTCTTTACAAATTCACACACTTTCAAAAGTTGTAATGCCGATGCTGCGGTCGGCTTCCCCGACGTCCGGTGATTCGGGCTCCGGTCGACTAGTTTTCGCTTCCATTTCTCCTTGTATGATTTACTAGCTGGAGGTTTAGTGATCGCAATCCTCCAAGAAGGTGCAACAAAAGCAGCTGCAGGGAGGAATTTCTCTATAGGCCATACAGGTTTGAATTTCTTTGAAATTTTACACATGGCTCCACTCAAAATCAAGCCTTTCCATGCAGTTTTTTGCTTCAAGCACACGAGTATGGCAAGTGCACCGCCTAATGATTCACCGTAGAGGAAAGGTGGAAGCTTTGGATGAGTGGCTCGAGCCGAGTCGAAGTACTGAATGCAATCAGAAACCAAAGGGTGAATATCAGGGATATGATCAGGTGGACCTTCTGAGAAGCCATGGCCTTGAAGGTCAAGAGCACAAACGAAGAATCCAGCTTTGGCTATGGCTACAGCATTGAGTTCAAAGAGCCAGCTACTCTCTGATGTGTAGCCATGTATCATTCCTACGAGCCCTTTAAGCCGATGAGCCGAGTTTGCTGGCTGCCATGACTGGTTGTAGATTTTCATGTTACTTTTGTTCAACATGAAGCTCTCTTGGTGGAGTATTTGGTGTTTCTTGAAGAACTCTTGCCTGGTGAGATTTCCATAAGGATTATTCTCATTAGCTTCATAAATTGGATGAACCATTTCCCTTTCTTTTTTTTTCTTTTTTTTGTTTGAACAAAGCAGAAATTATTATGAGTACTGGTTTATTTGCATCTACATATATAAAAGTGTATCACATCACCTCTCCCCATCTGAGGTGTGTGTTCTTGGTGATGTCTAAGGGCTTTGTCTTGATTATTTATCACTCAACAGCTTGTTTTCCCAACTGTCCTCTTGTATGTGTAATAAATGTAACTACTAGAAGCACATAAAGTTCTATGGACATGGTTTAAAAGGTCCAATATCCTATTTAACATTACTCATTTTTAATATTTTAAAAAAATGATTAGACCTTTGAAGTTACGTAGAACATCACTTTGATCGTCACGACATGCCGTACCTATGAATAGCATTATTCAATAATCTATGTTTAAGAAAATTCCTAGGTATTTCAATCTGAAAAAACAAGCATTGTCTAGAGCTTTTTCTATTTCTTGGCTCGACGAGATTTTTATTTTCTAAACAAATTTGAATTTTTCATTGGGCTGCAGATAGAATTGGACCGTTGCAATCCCAAACAGCTACTTTTGTTGACTTTTTATCTCACAATGAGACTCATGTGCATGTTAAATAACGGTCAAAAAATCCATCTTGGTACTGAAATAATCGAAAACAAACAGCCCCTTACTTGTCGCTTGAGATCAAGCGATATGTAAACCAGAAGGTTATTGCTAACCAAAAAATGTATAGAATTTTCAATATACACCTAAAAAATTTGGTGATCAACGAGACAAGTGTACAATAAAGAACAAGAGATGACAACCACAATGAAGTAAGTGCTTGAGCTTTAGTAATTACTCAAATCAACTACTTTAGAAGCTGATGTATTAGAAAGAAAACACATTTACATTAAACAAATTAAGCAGTGTTTAAGCTGCAATTTTGTGGAACCTTTTATTAATTGTCAACCGCTGCTTTGTCGTTCAAACATGAAGTTGGGCCCACCTTTTTTATTTTTTTTCATCTTTTTAAAGTGTTGGGTGGGGCTGGGGGCACCATTATGAGTTATTTGCCACCAATTTCTATACCTATCCTGAACACAACAAAATCCGTGGATAGATTTTTATTTATTTATTTATTTATTATTATTATTATTATTATTTCCCCTCTGTTTCTTCTTTCTTATTTTAAACTGAAACGAAAACTGCAATTTTGGTTAAATCAAATTAACCCCAACATCTGGAAAAATGAAAATGGGAATATAATCCACCCAATGAATCGTTCGAAGATATGGGTGACAAACGAATTGAGTTGTCCGTGAACTCTAATAGTCCCAACTCAGTCCAGGGATGGCTCAGGCTCGTGTTGAGACAAGCCATTGTCCAAGTCAAGCTTACATTAGCTTTCACGAACTTAGTGCATCGTTTGGTGATAAGGATGGCAAACGAATCGAACCACTGGTTACTTCAACTAGTCCAAACTTGGTACATGGACGTCTCAAATTTATTTCGAGACGAGCCATGGATCAAGTCGAGCTTACATTGATTTTCACAAGCCAAGCCCTCTCAGCTCATGAAGCCTACGAGCATGCTCATTTGGGTTAATGGGCACAAGTTCGTGAACCGATTCACGGACTTCATTTTATCTAATTTTTAGACTTATTTTATTACTTTTTTTAGAAATGCTCATTTTTAAACTTATTTTTGTTAATTTATTTTAAAAATTGGGCTCATGAAAGCTGGGTTTTTGAGACCCACGAGCTTAGGGCTGAGCGTAGCCCATATTTTAGGACACCCGAACTTGAAATGAGCCTAAGGATGAGCTAAGCTCATGATTGCAAGGACCAAATCGACTTAACTCATCCCATCGCCATCATTTTCTGATGAAGAAATAGGCAACGAAGCAACAAAGTGGACCACTCTATTTCTATGCCTAGGAGTAATGAGCATTTTAAAACACTTATTTCACAAATAATCGTGACTTTTAATTTAAGTCAATCCAACGCTCGTTATGTATTTCACAAAGACCATAGGACCGTTCCTCCAACTCATAACTTCGACGCACATATTTGACAAATAATTGTGACTTTTAATTTAAATCAATCCAACATTCATAATGCATTTCACTAAGATCATAGAAGAGTTGATTATAACCACCACTTTAGATCCATAAAATATTGAACGTTAGAATGACTTAAATTAAAGATTGCAATTATTTGTCAAATAAGAATGTCAAATTCATGTGCACGAGAAACGGTCCCGTATTTTAAAAAGGGTATAATTAAGAGAGTCGAATTCTAGTTATCTGTCTCAATCACAATTTTGAGACTACTCTTTTGGAAAAAATCAAGTCATTTAAGGCTCTGTTTCTGAATGTACAAGTTGAGCTCTTTTTCCTCCTACATTCTCGGCTCCAATCCAAGAACATTTAAGACCTGCTACACATAATAAAAAAAAAAAAAAAGGCAGCATAACTACATGAACTGTAAACAAAAGCCACCATTTTCTTTGAAACTAACGAAAGCAAATAAAATTGGGGAAGATGATACCTTTATTTCTTCGCCTTTGCACGTTTCATTCTGTACATCACTCAGTTTCTAACTGTTCTTCATGACTAGGGACCAGACCATATGAAAGAAGAACATAACAAGAAACAAAATTCTCTATCCTTTTTCTCTCCACGTGCTGTTTAGTATGAACATCAAAGCCAAGTCAATTACAATAAGATTAGCAAACACATGGAGCATTCACCACATTTGAAAATGTGTGTTCTCATCAATAAAATCAGCTGTGATAGCTTAGACCATTCTTTTCCTAATCAACATGTCATAATCAGAATAAGGACTAGTCAGGCTATAGCAGCCACTAGAGAAATATTGATAACTTTAAAGATTGCATATTTACAATTGACTGCTGGGATAAAATTGCTAAAGAATATCGACTTAACCGAGGACAAATGAGTATAGCTGGGTGATCTCCTTTAGTTATAGAGTTGACATCTTTACATTTCAGGTTATCAGTGGCCATTTTCTGTTGCTTCTTTCGCCAGGGAATTCCAGGCAAACAAAGCAGCTCCAATGGCAGGCTCCACCTGTGGAATCATTTGAACTTATAGTTTTTCAAAGTCAACGAAGTTTCAGTCACTGTAGTTTTATAACAATATATATAAGTAAATACCTTCGTCAATCATATAACGTACTATATACATCCACAATTTTCAGTTACTGCTAGAAAATAAATGAAGAAAGCTAACCTTCGGTCTTATAGGAGAAGCCCCTGGGTAAGTCTTCAAAATAGAGTTAATAACTTCTTTCCCAATATCCCATCTCTTGTTAGCTTCGAGGACACCACCAACCACCACAACAGGGAAAGAACCATTTCCATCTGCAATAAGATAAAGCAGTTTTAGTTGTTTCAACCCAAAATTTAAGTAGGAGGCCCAGTCGAGCAGCTCCAGCAGCAGGGTTGATGGAAAAGTTGTGGATTGGAGTCCTATATTTGAAAGATAAAGAGAGAGCCCATTTTTCAATTTAAAAACAAATCATAAACGTGTTATCAAATGAAAGTAGGCTTTTTGATTAGGTCAAATATATTTCATGTGAATGATGTAGAAGGCATACAAAGACAGAAGTAATTGCCTGATATTTCAAGATTTCAGCAATTGAAATTTAGGTGAACAGTTAAATAAGATCCATCAATGCCACCCCCTTTTATATTCACTTTTCAATTCATGATTATTGAATAGTTAAACAACTTCCAACCTTCTCCGGCCAACTGTAGTCGTTGAACTACAGCTTTCACACTCATAGCCAATTCTTGAACAGCATTATTCAAGATATCAATGGCAATTTGATCACCAGCTTCTGCACAGGATACCACCACAGGAACCAGTGCAGCAATCCTTGCCCAAGATGAATCTGCATAGGTCCACCTAAATTGCAATAAGCAAGTAAAATAAAACCGATTGTAATATCAGAAATACTACATACTTCTCGTATATTAGTGCTGAAAGTATTTCAGTTCCTCATTGTTTCAATTTTCAAGAATTTGATACTAAGATATTTGTTGTTTAACTTTACTGCACTTTCAGAGCCATATTATATCCAATAATGTTACAATAAGATGAGTGTCCTTAACGTAAATGATTTCATCACAGCTTATAACTGTCCTGATCTTGGTGTCAAACTTCAAAAAGAACAGAATCAAAGATGAGCATTGTCGATATTGGAGTTAAATAACTGTGGATGAAGTTTCTTAGTGGAAGATCTCGTACAAGAGTTAGATGTGTACCCATTTTAACAGATCCAAACTACTATTTTCAGCAATTAAACAAAACAAAAGCTCGCGCCTTCCTGGATGCAAATTTCTATAGTTACTTGGATTTCAAAATGATTGACAAAACTGAAGTAGGAGAAACTTGAGTTTCACATAAATGCTCTCAACCAGCCATATGAAAGGAATGCAGAAGAAAACCACATATAGCCTGCAGCATTGCCCAAAAAATCTTTTCTAGTGCTGTTTTGATTAGTAAAGTGATAAATGTACAAAGTTCCCAATGCCAGATGAGAGGTCTAATATCTTCATTTTGCCATAAAAGTAGCATGCTATATCCATCATAAAGATGCTAAATACAAGATCACTCACAGAAACGATGGAGAGAGAACTCAAGCAATCTCACTTAACTGACAGTCTGACACTGAGAAACCACCCTGACCACTTACTTTTTGTGAAACAGTACTTTATCTAAACTCACATGAAAATAAACATAACATCACAAATTTGATCAGGGAGGTACCCTATTATTTCATCTGGAGAAGAAAGATTGAGTGACTTGAGAACACAATTTGTAAGCATTGTCTTTGGACCACGGCCATCATGAGCCCTAACAACGGCTGTCAATCCCTGAGCAGCAATTCCGTAACCACTGCAAACAGCAAGATATAATCAATTTAATAACACTTCAAGAATCAACTTGTACAAGATAGCACAATACCTTTTAAGATTTATATTTCCTTTCCTTTGCTTTCCCTTTTATAACGTATTGTTTCTCTAAACTAAGAATGAAAAAAGTTGGAAAGAGCAAAAACGTTGATCACATGGAAAGGATAGGACTAGAGGTGCATCTAGGATTTAGAAGGCTGCGTAATGAGGGGAGACTAAGTCAGGAAATACGTAAATAATCAAAGATTGAAAATAGAAAATCACAATGATAAAATAAAGATGTAGGCATCCAGCCTCCAGTGGTAAAAGCCAGCTATAATTCATGCTAATTGCTACTAACACTTAATCACTGCGTGTTAGTATTCCACCACCAAGATTTGGAATCATAATTTCTTCTGGTATGGAACAACGATAAAATAAATTTTTAATAAAATATGCCCCTGTTTGAGCACCATTCTCTAAAAACTCATTTTTCCCCAAACTCATTTTCAACCACATTCTCTCAATAAAACTTTTTAACCACACATTCTCCAAAAATAATCACTATTACAAAATCTATCCTATTAAAAACGGGGCTCAAACATGGCCTATGTAAAATTATAAGAATAGCTTTGAAAATTTTTGCTTAAATTTTAGCTTTTAAACAGAGAACAAAGGTACTAATTTTCAAGTGCCGCTACTATGGACATGAAATGATAAATATGGATAAACAGTACTCAGTTTGAACATTTAATTCATGCTACTTGCACTTCAAAACTATAATCCTCACCGCCAACAATTGAAATTGCGAATTTTCAACAGTAATCAGTTTAAACATTTAGCATATTTAGCTCTGTCGTGGAATACCTTGACAATATACGTGCTATTATCTCTCTATGCATATTGTTTTGAAAACGAGTTGTCTATGGAAGATATCAAAATATGCCTATCCAAGACTTACAGGTTTCATGAAGTTATTAAAATTGTAATGAAATCACTACAGGATAATCAATTACAGACTATTGAAGTGTTAATCAGTAAGTGATAGTTATTTAGCCCCTGTTTGAGCAACATTTTCAGAATAGATTTTGTAAGTGATTTTTTGGAGAATGTGTGGTAAAAAGTAGGTAAATTTTTTGATTTACGTGCAAAATTATTTTACTGGGAGAATGTATAGTGAAAATGAGTTTTAAAGAATGGAACTCAAAAAGGGGCTTAATATGGTTACTATTTTCATATTATTTCTTTTCATACAACCTAAGTCAATCTTCCTGTGGATTTTTTACTGATATTTGGCAACTTTACCTGCCCCAGTCACCTAGTACAGGTCCTGCACCAGCAGCACGAGCTTCCCTTCCATCTTCTCTAAAACCATAAGATATGCACCCAGTACCAGCAATCAGAACACAGCCATGAAGTTTCCCCATGGTCCCACTCGCAAGGGCTGCCACTGCATCATTCTCGACACGTATCTTTACATTACCTGGGAATATGTCCCTGTATTACACCATATACAGTTTAGGACCAACTTCAGAGCTTGCACACTGAACATCTAGACGACTAACTACTTTATCAGTATCTATCCATTAACAGTTCACGCTTATATGAATGCATTCCAAATGCAATAAACAATATTCTATTTTAGAATTCTGCCAGCCCCATTGAATGCAACAAGATGTAATATGTAAGTTTTATCCAATACTCGAGACTTACTGAAATAGTTGTAAAATTAACATAGTCTTAGTAGCATAGTTCTAAGAACATCCACATATATCAGTCTGCCATTCTAGGCTTTGCAACTAGCTTCGAATTAAAATTCCTGTCATCCTTTTGCTTTTTGCAAACTATGGAATTTTCAACTTCAGCAATCTATGGCTTTGTAGGTATATTCTGTAGATCATTCTAGGGTATAATTGCCAGATTTATTACTTGCATTTCTCTTAGAACATGATGAGACAATTATAAGTTAAAAAAAATAAGTTTTGGTCACTGATCAATCTATCGAAAATGTAACACAAACTACACATACTTCAGTCAATCTATAGAAAAAGTGGAAGCTCGTAACAAGTAAAACATTTTTTGGATATAAGAGGAAATTATATTAATTAATCCACCAGCGAGAACATCAATCTGTAAGCACGTTGGACACCAGAAATATAATATAAAGGCGAAGCCAAATACCGAAACACTGCAAAAAAAAAAAAAAAAACATATGAGATTAGTATAATTTACTCAAAGACAAAGCACCTTATCCAATTCAATATCATTTCCTGATCAGTGGGATGATTGACACCAGAAACACCTAAACAAACAGCCCGAACAGCTGAATGACTCATGCCAGCTTTCAAAAGTGCTTCCGCCATAACTTGTTCTAGTGTTTCTCTGGCTGCATTTTCTGTAACACACGATCATAAATATAAAACATCTTGCACAATTAGTCTTTTCCTAAGTATGTTACATTCAATTTCATCTAGGAGGCCACATTTAATTGCACAATCAATATTTCATAACTTTTTAGGCTCCATACATAGTAATTGAAACGTTTAATTAGTACAATCTAATATATACCTCCGACGCTATTGTAATTGGAGCAACCAGCGACCGCTCGGCCGAGAATGGGGAGGGGTTCGGGAAGCTGACGGTGATCGGAGAAGGGGAGGAGCGGCATGCACACGCAGACGGTGGAAGTGGTGCCACCGTCCACCCCCAGGATCACCCCTTCACCACGGTAATCGGACTCGGAACCCATATCAACAACAGCAAAATCACAAAACCCTCTCTCTGTTGAGATATTTCCGATGGCTGTGATTAGGGGAAAAGCAAAAATGGGTCAAGAATTGGATTTTGTTTAACATTCGACGGGATTGCGACTTCTCTGCTGTTTCTTATTCTCCAATTCTCCGCTTCTGTGTCTACTTCCAATTATCAGGTTGGAAGTCGCATTTACATTAAATCATTTTTCCCCCAATGTTACTTTTAATCGCACTTTCTATAGATCCATAACTTTTTCATACTTTTTAACAACACATTCTCAAAATTTTATTTTTCTTTTCAAAATATGTCTCCCAAACAAGTTCGGAGTGGAGGGAAGTCGCATGAATGTATAGCTAGCCTCCGTTCGGGTTTGATTATTAGCAAATTTTTAGAAGTAATAGTAGCGGAGATCATAAAATGTATGTATAATGAGTAAAACTAAATTTACATTTGAAATTAAAGTTTAACTTTGACTAATAGTAGAAGTAACTTTTGAGTTGCTAATAATGTTTTCCAACATAATCCTTCTTTTGGGTATATTCAAAACAAGATATTCTTTGCTTATAGATTGATTTCGATTTATAAATTTTCTGTTTAAATTATAACCTTTTTCGTTTGTTGGTATAAATCCAATCATTATAAAGTTTATTAAATAAGAATTTTTTTAGTGCGGTCAGATATATCGTTTTTTTACGGAAGCTATGAGGGTAAACAAAAACAATTGCTGACATGTCCAATTGAATCAAATTGAAAAGATAATAAAATGTGTGGATAATTAATAGTTTTGAATTTGTAGTTGAAATTAAATTTTAAATCTTGACGAAATGGTTGAAGTAACTTTTAAGTTACTAATGATGTTTCCCAACCTAGCATTTGTCTTGAGTAAATTCGGGGGGAATGATGTTTTCGTGTGAGAGAGAGAGAGAGAGAGAGAGAGATCCATTTACAAATTGGTTGTTTGTATTATTACTATTTTGGTTGTTAGTATAAACCCAATAATTGTAGAGTTCATTGTATGGTAATGTTGTTAGTGTAGGCAGAAATATGCTTCCTTTACAAAAGTTATGGGGTTAAAAACCCTACTAACGTATCAAATTGAATCGAGATCGCGGTTTGGATATAGTTGTTTGAGTCTGCATGATTTAGATTTTGAGCGTTTCAAAACCGAAACATACCGTTTAGAAATAGTTTAGTTTACGTTTTAATAACTTAAAACCATTTAAAATCAAACAAAAAAAAAGGTTTATTTTTATAAAATAAAATAAAAATACTTATCAGATACAAAATATGTTATCCATTAGGCTCCTGTCTGGGTGGGATTCTTACAACATTTTAAGCAACTTTTCCAACGTGGAAAATGCAGGTGGTCTCTATATCGCCGTCATTATTGACGTAAATGCCCTTCTCTCCAATCGAATGAATTTATAAATGTCAAAAGAGTACATCGATGATTATGCGGCTGCTTGTCAATAAGTGCGATTACTTTTTACTATATAACAGTAAAAATTTTGATTAAAATTTGTTGAAAATTACTCCCAAACAAAAGCTAGACAAATTTATACTTCAACAAATTTACATGCTAGTCAACTTCTATGGATTTTTTTAAAATAATAATTTTATTTATGATAATAGTAGTCTTATATAAAGAATGAAATTGCAAATTTACAATTATATGTTGAACCCTGTATTAATTTATTGGTTTAAGCTTGCATTGAGTTAATTATATAGTATTGTTACCATTATGTTCAAAATGTTCTAATTTAAGTGTTATATTGAAATTTCAAACAAATAGGTTTATTTTTTCAATTATTTGAAATATGTTATTTTTATATCGTTAAAACATTGGTTTGAAGCCAAATCAAACTGCAAAAAATGATTTGGTTTGAAAAATAAAATTGTTTGGTTTGAAATTTTCCTAAAATGCTTAGAACAATTTTGTTCGAAAATAGATCAAAAATCGTCAAAGTTGAACTATGTTCACCCTGTTGGGAATCTACTTATACATGCACAGCGGAAAATTAAATTATTTCGATTCCCATCCAATAGATCTCATTGTGTTTGGTTAGGAATTGTGATAAGATTGTACCTTTTTTCAGATCTGCAATCCTTTTGCTTTTCTTTTCGTTCCACAACTTTGATTCGTCACCACAGCTGTCCAATTGTCCAGCCTCCAACGGTGATCCACACAGAGAAAATGATTGCAGCCTCTAGGGTTTTCTCTTGTGCTAGCAAGAATAATGAAAACCTTAATGGACCTCAAACCCTAGTTATGTATTTATATAAACCCAAACAGGCTCGATCCGGTCCGGTCCAATAATTAATTAATCCAATTAATTAAACCCGGTCCGTGAATTAATTAATCCAATTAATTAATTCGAAAATATAAATAACAAATCCAATTAATTAATTTATCCAACGATTGTTAAATTAATCAATTGGCAATTTGCAATCTTCCAATTCTCTTTTGTGTGTGACCCATTAGGTTCCCGACCACGATGCCTAACGACGTGAAATATTATTTTGATCTAATCAAAATTGATAAATTAAAACACTCTTTTAATTTATCGTCAATTCACATTCGCCGTCCCTGATTGACATCTAGCAATGTGTCAGGGCAATACATGTGACGGGAAATGTCACGTGGTATGACAAAACCAAATTCGTTCGTTTACCGTGAAACTATAATCCCTTCGTCAATATGATCCGATCAATTACGAGATATGGAATTGTGTCAATCTCGATCATCGATCATATCTTTCACTCCACTATTAAGTCAATATAAATCGAAAACTCCTTTTCGACTTATGAGTACACCTTGGCCAAGGATTTGATCATTGACTTAATTGAATGAAACGTAGATCATAATCTCCTACTATCTAAGAGTGACGAATCCTTTATTGATCAATCACAACCTTCATACGATTCTTGACGTACCCGAACAATGTCGTATTAGCGGCCCTTTTCAGAGCAACATCCAACACCGCCAAAGTATGACTGTCCTCATATAAGGTACCATGACGACCTCAAGTCAAAGGACCAATTTCACTACCTAACGTTAGAGATTAACCACCGACACTCAGATAGTTATCCATGTGGAATCTCTCGACGGGTCTCCAATGTTTTGTTCTATAACAAACATCCACGTGTTCATTTAAGTGTCACCACACTTTAACTTGTGAGATCGGCTACTTACTTCACAAGTAAGAAATGCCACACGTGATGGTCTATCCGTAATAACGATATCCGTATCTCGTTATTACTTACGACCACGGATGATTTAAGATTCAATCAGATGTAATTTGTATCTCACAATCACAACTCCTTGTGATTAATAAATTACAAATATTTGAATCTACGGACTCTATTATTTATTTAATTGTCTATTAATTAAATAATAGATCTGCCATTTAATTACATTAATTATATATAAAAGTATTTATGTCCAAAGTCGATTGGACCTAGGGCATAATACTTACACACCCAACATTAGTTATAAATGAAGTTGGCAAAAAAAATTTCTTCCCGATCCTCCCACATAATGAAGTTCGTTTTGTGGTGAATCAGTTCGAGAACTGAAAATATTTATACTTTAAAAGTATAAATGAAATAAAAAGTACAATTTTAAACCCTCACTAAGGCAAAGAACACGAAGGATTCGCCTTACTCCATCGTAATCCTTAGTTTTACACATTACTATTTAACATGTTAAATTGAATATCATAATGAATAAAATTTAAATTCTTAATATTGTCAAATTGCCTCTCAAGTCTTAAAGTATGTATTATCGAGTCCTGTTTATCTATTGTTCTCCAAATTATTATTATTTTGTCTAAAACTGATTTTTAATCACACATTTTCATAATAAAATATATTGCACATAAATCTAAAAAAATTTCCCTACTTTTTAACTATATATTTTTCAAAAAAATCACTATTTTAAAACTTATTTGACCTTAAAAAAACTCTTTTTAATGAGTATCAAATAGGGGCCGAATTCAATGATGTGTACTAAAAAAATTGGTGTAAAATTGAAGATAGTTATCCTTGTTTAAAGTACTTGCTCGATGACATGATACAAACAACATCGATTACATGACACGACATGAGGGAGCATATGTGCATAAGGATGTTAAGTCCTTGGCTCATCCAACTAGCGAGTTGGCTGACTAGATTGGCGAATCAAACGAGCTGATGAACGAATCATTTAGCGGCTAGCAAGCAAGCTAGCTTGTCTCAAGCCTGTGAGTTACTGGCATTTTAGCTACAAAATATAATTTTCAACCACAAAGAAAAGAAGGTGCGAGCCGAACCCGATAGAGTCGAGTGGCTTGATCGTTCCCTTTAACACCCTTACCTATATTTAGTTTATAAGGATGTTGGCATTTGTAGTTGTGAAATGATCTTACGTCGCTTAATTGGTGTAATGACCTCCATATTCGGTGTTAACATTCTTGTTGAACCAGATCATGTTGCGTAAGGTGTCATTATTGGAACTATACTTTTGTGGCCATCTATGTAGTTTAACTCGGTGTTAAAAGTTTTGTTCTAACAATCAAATGTTTGTCCAAGTCAGAGAATGCTGAAATAATTCTAAATATGAGTTTCACATTCTATGTAAATTTTACGGGTTAGATGTATAGTTTATAATGATATTTTGATTAGGCCAAATTTATTAAGTGATCAATTGGGCATTTACACCTTACGAGTTATATTTAATATGATGTGGCAATTTTAAGTATGTGAGTTGAAAATATATGTAAACCCTAATTAGAGTTTAAGTGGTAATGAGACAACTTGATAATTTTCTATATAAAGATCAGGTCCCCTCTCCTTTCCATATTGTGTTTATTAGTTTGTCTCATTAACAACTAATATTTTGTAAAGAGCAAGGAGTGAAAGATGTAGCTGCTATTATTTATATCAATGATGGCTTCCGCAAGTATGAATTCGATTTATTAATTATTATTATTATGTGATTCTTGTTCTTATCATGGTTATCGTTAAATTCAACATGTAAATCTTGAAATTAGAAATTTCGTGAAGGGAAAAATTTGGTGATCTAATTTTCTTAGCGCAAATCACGGAAGGCAGTATAAAATGTGGATATGTAATATTGAAATTATTATCTTAAATACGGTACTAAATGTAATTTACACAACTTATAATTATTCAATCATTGGCTCAAATATTGGTTGTCATTTTGTTTTCTTTTCCCCTCCAGTCAACTCGACTCGCACCGACTGTTTTGTCGTTTGCTACATATAAAGTTGTGACCAGCTCCAATTTGTTTCATTTTTTTTTTTTGATATCCAGATATTTCAACTTACACTGAACTAAATTCTGGACCTTCAAAATCCTTGCCTCTAGAATTTTGGAGGGGGTAAATCCCGGGTTATGTCTCAACTGGATCACAGGCTCCCCCACCGTCTGTACACTTTTGCGTACAAGAGATCCTCCTCCAAAGTGATTACTCCATACCAAATAAATCTGGCCGCAGGTTCCCACCAAGATTCGAACCTCCACCCTACCGCTGGAAGTAAGACAAATATTGATTGATCCACCAGTTGAGCTGTGCCCCGAGGAGTTCCAATTTGTTTCATTTTGCTATTAAGCGCAGGTAGATCAGGCTACAATTTATAACATGATAAAAATAATATAATAATAATTATTATTATTTATTAATTTAAAATTTTCTTATTATCATCCATAATTTGACAAAACAGAATAGAAAAGAAATTTGTGAAAAAAAAGGAGAAACATTCAACCAATTAGCTAGCTTACATTTTGCAAGATATCGATTAATGCTCTTTTAATAAACTTAGTCTACGTTTGGCTCATATTTACAAATTGTTTATAAATATTCAAATTATTTTTATAATTTAAATAATTTATAAACTCTTTTCAAACATGCTTTTTACTTCACAATTGACGAGCCCTTTAAAAGGAAGTTAGATGGAAGCTAAGCATTGGACATTTGCAAATTATAATTGGAGAACTTGACTCAACCTTAAGGATTGAGACATCAATATTAGAGAAGACTATGCCGACATTTTTCGCAAACTTTAGTTCGAGTGACAAGAACTTTGAAAATAAAGTATTACGTCGATTTAAAAAAAAAAAAACTATAAAACTTGGCCCATATTCAATGATCTATTTTTTCTAAGAAAAAGTATACATTAGAATTGAATTTTACGGATTAAAATATTATATACTAATAGAATGTTGAAGTGCAGAAAGAATCCGGGTTGATAGCTAATTATATTTTCAAATTAAACCTCTTAGGAGAAAAAATAAAATAAAATAAAATCATACAAAATTAAATTATTTTGAGGTTCAATTTAGTTAAAAATCAAAATATTGATAGATCCAGGTGACCCAAATTGATGGTTTTAATTCGAGTCTACTATTTTTTGGTCTAGGAATGAAAATTTGAATGAGTAGAGAGGACAGCTGTATTGATGATACATGCATTTTCATGATTAAAAATTAAAAAAATTGTACCAACGATTCCTAACATTTTCATTTTTTTGTAAACTTTACCATAACTTACGATTTGTACCAACTACCAACAAAAATTTCTAACCTTTTAAAAATATGCATCTGAAGTCCAAATGAATGAAATTCATCTACATTTCCGTTAGCTGATCAAGGAAGACAAAATTTGATCAATTTTGACCAAATAAAAAATGGTAAAATGGTAAGTTTACATTTTTATCACATTAAACAAGTTAAAAATTAAATTAAAAAGGAAAAAAAATAAAAACAAAACATCATCATTTCCACACCATTCCCCCACCAATCCCCATTCACCCCCATCCCAACACTTCCACTCCAAACAAGTCAAAATTGTCGGTCGTTGACCACAGACGACCTAACCATCGTTGGCCACCATACCATCCCACAAAACTAGAAATCAACTTATCAACACCATCCCATCACAAAAAATAATAATAATAATAATAATAATAAGAATAATAAATCAAATCGAACCTCGATCTTGATCCTAATGATTTCAAGGAGTTCGACTTCGGTTCAGGAGATGTTGGTGTGATATTTCATTGTTGAGTTTGAAATTGAAATTCTATGTAGAGCTCCAAGTGTTAGGTTTGTCAAAATGAATCTAAATCTCAATTTTTTTTTCTTCTTTTTCATTTTTTTGATCTGGGTTTTGTTTTTTTAATTTAGTTCAGTGGTGGCACTAGTTGCTGGATGGGTTTTCTGGCTTTGATCGAGTTTCTAGTAGAAGTGTTTGGTGGTTGCAAATTGTAGGCGGAGGTGGACGTGTAGTGGTGATGGTGGTTATTTCTTCCGCTAGTGATGGTGGCTATAGAAAAGATGGTAGTGGAGGTGGTAATGACTATGGTGACGGTTGGTGATCGACTACGGTTTGCGAAGGGTTGGGGTAGGGGTGGGCTTTGGATTGGGAATAGGGTAAGGGGTGGAAAATGATGGTTTTTTATTTATTTTTATTAACATTTACTTAATTACTTTAATTATTTTTATATGGAAAGAGATAGTTACTATTTTACCCTTATAGAAATAATTAATAATGTGATCAAAATTATTTTCTTTGTTAAATAACGAATTCTATCCATTTGGATTTCAGATGCATATTTCTAAAAGGTTAGAGACCTTCACTGGCACACATTGAAAATTAGGGTAAAAAAATATGCAAAAAATGAAAATATTATGGACTCATGCTGCAATTTTCCGTTAAAAATTTGATACTTATCAAGTGTTGTGTTATGTTTGGTACTATGGGAAAATTACATAAGCGGTCCCTAACCCTTTCGTGTTTTGCAAACTTTACTCTAACCTTCATTTTGTGCCAGCGAAAGTCCTATTGCGAGGATTTTATTGGATGTTGATACATTTTTTGACGGTGTTCTGAATGATTTCCATCCAGATGGATTTCAGGTGCATATTTATAAAATGTTAGGAACCTCCGCTAATACAAAATGAAAGGTTAGGGTAAAGTCCATAAAAAAATAAAAATATTAGGGTCCGTTGCTGCAATTTTCCCTAATGATAATTGGGTCAGATGGGGACAATTATGTTTAGTTAAAACTACTGCTACATCACATATGCTGGCATAATTCAATTGGTGCCAGTCCCACCACGTGTTTAATTTACATAATATTGCCTCAAGAAATGTATTTAAAATTATTGAACGGTTGAATTAATTTAAAACGTCGTTGTCGATTTAATTTTCTATTTTATTTGTCAACGTTTTCAGAATAAAAATACTTGGTTTGGAGAAAGGTCACTCTCACATGACACTTACATATAAGTTGAACATATAAACCATCTTCACGTCTTAGGGATTTTACTAGGACTGTCTTTTTAGTAATTTTGGAAAATTAAATAATTTAATATATGAACTAAAGTAAGGAAAATCTCGACATGATTGTGTGGTAGGAAGTTGGTCCCCAATATTTTGAAAGTGCAATTTCTATTCTTTCAAATTTGTGGCAATTAATTTCGAACATGGTATGCCCATCTATTTTCATATTAAAAAATCGCACGTTTGTTGAAAAAATAAATAAAATAAAATTCTTGCACATCTAAATTAATATAGAGAAAGTAATAAAAGAATGCGAAGGAACAAAAGAGTAGCGATTGATCGAAGGAATGAGTCGAGAAGCTATGTGGTATAGGGTTTGTACGAAATGAGGTTGAGGGCTACAAGTAGGAATTATCAACTGTGGAGGGAGGAGATAGGTGAAGCTTGGAGTCGATGAGGATGATTTGTGAATTAGAAAGTGAAAATTTATAAAGTTATACTATGCGTACATGGGGATCCCCTTTGTACATATTACAGTTATAGTACTGGTAACACTGCACCTGTAAATTTTACAAGGAATTTCACCGTGCAAGTAGAATAATTCAAATTTAAATTATAGTAGAAAGTATCATAACGAGTTGGTAGACTAACTTATTACAAAACTAAAGCCGTGAATAGTCTAATAGAAAATAAGTACATGTTTGGTTCTGATTTTTACCCAAAAAAATCAATTTTTTGATAATAACTTCCCTAATTCAGCCGTCGGTTTTAAGTTCTTCTTTTATATGTGGAACTCACTTTTTTCTCTAACGGTTAAAAAATCAATTCTTATAGTTACTACCGAACAAGTCGTAAAACTAATATCAAGTTATGATTTTTTTTATTTAAAAAGAAAAAGAACCACTGAGAGCTTTTTTAGGAGTGATTTTGAGAATTGATTTTTTGATCGTTAAGGAAAAGGTGGTATTCATTTGTAAAAGAAGAAATCAAATATGACGATTGAAATAGTAAAATAATAATCAAAAAATCAATTTTAAAAAAAAAAAATCACTCACAAACATACTCTGAATTTGCAATAATTATCTAGAGTAAGAGTCTACGAGATTAGTGGAGGGTGTACTCTAGGTACGGAATAAGCAAAAAGACAAGATTTTTATTTTATTTTTGTAACAGCAGAGTATCAGGGATATTACCCAAAATTTCAGTACAATTAATTTAGGTTGTTGATAATCCTCTAGACAACCCCATGTGAGTTTAGCTTACCTCAAATAATGGAGATCAATGCTCTGGAACCCATACCTGCCACTCGTCTCAATTTCGAATCAATTAATAATTTAAAAAAAAAAAAAATTACAACAAATTGCCATTGCATCAGTTACAACAAACATATATGCTGGAAGGGAGATTCTTGACCTTTCATAAAACAAAACAAAAACACTGCAACGTGACATGAATGTTTCCAGGCTGTTTCAACACTTTAGCCAACCCAATTTTTGTTGTTCCCTTTAGTTTTCAAAAAATGCTTTGAACGCAATTTTCTTTACAAGATTTTCAGCCTTGAACTGATTAGGAAGATTTTGATTTCTTGGGCCTTTTCTTGGTTCAGATCTGCTTGCTGATTGGGACTTTTTGATTCAAGAAATTAGTCTTTGATTCAGCTGTTCTACTGCTTGCAAATAGCCCATATTGGTGCAGGTAACTTGATGTTTGAATTTGATGTGTCATGAATGGTTTTGCTCTAGCTGAAATGTATGTACAAGATCGACCCATTTGATATTGGGATTAAAGGGAAGTCAGTGTGATTCAAGAAGATTAGGGTTTTTCATATTTTGATTTATATTCTGCTATTATTGAGTTTGTTGGTATTTGCATTGGATGCTGACATTTTTGTTAAGAAAAAATAAAGGGTAAAAAGAGGAGAAAAAAAGGAATTTTGGGTTGTTTTTGAGTGCTGATTAATGAAGGTCCAAGCCATGGGGTTGCTGGGCATATTGAGGCTGGTGATTATTTTCGGATTTATGGAGATTGGGAAAGCTCAGAGGAAGTCTTTTCTGATAAGCTGTGGGACAAATTCCAGTGTAACTGTGGATGGGAGGAGATGGATTGGTGACACAGTTCCTGGGAACAATGTCACCTTCAGTGCTTCTGGTATTGAGGCCTCGACTGGGACATTCAGTGGCGATCCAGTCTACGAGCCACTTTATAGAACTGCCAGGATTTTTACTGATAGTTTGAATTATACTGTTCAAGGGACACCAGGAAATTATTTTCTTAGGCTCCATTTCTATCCGTTGGTGTACATGAATTACAATGCCAATGACTCTGTCTTTGCTGTTGAGTCGAATCGATTAAGGTTGGTTTCTGAGTTCAATGTTCCTGGTGAGATTTTGAATAAAAATTCAAACTTGCTTAGGTCAGGAGGCAATTCTAGCTTTACTTCATTAGTGAAGGAGTATTTCTTTACCATTGATGCCAATGTCATTGTTATTGACTTCATTCCTTCCAAAGGGTCTTTCGGTTTTGTGAATGCCATAGAAATTATTCCTGTTGATGATAAGCTGTTCAATGACTCGGTGAGAAGAGTGGGTGGAAATGGTGGCAGTAGTTCTTTGAACTTAGACACACGAGGGGTTGAAACCATGTATCGATTGAATGTTGGGGGTTCAGCAGTTAAACCCTCACAAGATTTGGATTTCTGGAGATTGTGGGATGTAGATTCAAGTTATATGGTCAATCCAGATGCTGGTTCGGAAATCAGAAACAGAACTAACATTACCTATGCTTCTCCTAACGACACATTCGTGGCACCTCTTCCCGTATACGAAACAGCGAGGACTTTGTCAAATACTGAAGTCCTGGAGAGGAGATTCAACATGTCATGGAAATTGGAAGTTGATCCAGATTTTGACTATCTAGTCCGCTTGCATTTCTGTGAACTTCGTTTTGACAAGCCAAATCAAAGGATTTTCAGAATTTACATAAATAATAGAACTGCAGCAGAGAACTTCGATATTTTTGTTCGAGCTGGAGGAATGAACAAGGCATATCACGAGGATTACTTCGACGAGATTTCATCTAAAAGCAACACCCTGTGGATACAGCTAGGTCCTGACACGACAACAGGTTCTGCAGGAACAGATGCTCTCTTGAATGGGTTGGAGGTTTTTAAGCTTAGTCAGAATGGTAATCTTGCTTACGTACAGAGGTATAGCAATATAGAAGGCAAGAAAACATCAAAAAGTTTCCTTTGGGTCGGAATTGGAGCAGGTATCGCTTCTATTGCTATTCTTGCAGCTTTAGTTATGCTAATTGTCTGGTTTTGTAAGCGGAAGAACAAAGATGATGATGATGATGCGAAGAAGACCGCTTCTGGTTGGAAGCCGCTGTTCCTTCACGGATCAATTGCTAATCGCACTGCCAAAGCAACAGGATCGACTGTGTATCAGAATCCTAATGGAACTATCCGATCTGGAAGGCGTTTTACATTAGCAGAGATTAGGGCGGCAACAAATAATTTTGATGAAAGATTAGGGATTGGAGTAGGAGGATTTGGTAAGGTGTACAAAGGAGAGATTGATGACGGGACCCTAGCAGCGATTAAGCGAGCCAACCCACAATCTCATCAAGGCCTTGCTGAATTTGAGACGGAAATCGAGATGCTTTCAAAACTGAGGCATAGGCATCTTGTCTCCCTGATTGGATTCTGCGATGAACAGAACGAAATGATCTTGGTATATGAGTATATGGATAATGGGACCCTCAGGAGTCATCTATTTGGGAGTGACCTACCGCCATTAAGTTGGAAGCAACGACTAGAAGTATGCATTGGTGCAGCCCGAGGACTGCACTACCTTCATACAGGATCTGAGAGGGGAATCATCCATAGAGATGTTAAAACAACTAACATATTGTTAGATGAGAACTTTGTAGCTAAAATGGCCGATTTTGGATTGTCCAAAACTGGTCCTTCACTGGAGCACACCCATGTAAGTACAGCAGTAAAAGGAAGCTTTGGTTATCTTGATCCTGAATACTTTAGGCGACAGCAGTTGACAGAGAAATCCGATGTTTACTCATTTGGCGTGGTCCTTTTCGAAGTTGTCTGTGCTCGGGCTGTTATCAATCCAACCTTGCCAAAAGATCAAATCAATCTTGCAGAGTGGGCAATGCATTGGCAGAGGCAGAGATCACTTGAAAGTATTATCGATCCACGAATAAGGGGAAAGTATTCTCCGGAATCATTGATGAAATTTGGCGAGATTGCAGAGAAATGTCTTGCTGACGAGGGGAAGAGCAGGCCAACAATGGGAGAAGTTTTGTGGCACTTGGAGTACGTTTTACAGCTTCAGGAGGCTTGGTTGCACACCAATGCTGATGCTGGGGAGAATTTGGTTTCCAGTAATCCGGATCTTGGACCTAATGATGTGGGAGAATGTGAGGTCCAGGACGCTACAAATTAATATGAACGACATAGTGGATCTATCTCAGTGACAACTGACAGATTGGATCCTATCGACCCGATGGCTGTTGGAGTTTATGACTTTTCACAACTCGTAAACCAACAAGGAAGGTTTTATCTATGCTTTCTACTATTAATTCTTTGCAATTTTTTTTTCATCCACGCCATTTTATCGAGGCTTCAGCATCCATGTTCAGTATCTATATCAGATGCTAGAGACTAGGACGTGTCGATAAACAATGTGGATACAAGTACAATATCTGCATGTCTTTTGAGTCTTTTCTTATTTGAGCATGTCTATTTCATTTATCAGATCAATTTCTTTTATTCTTGTATGTGTATGATGTCTGGAATTAGTGGTACTTGAATGTGATGAGTTTTCGATTAGCATATCAGTTAGTTCAGTTTTATGGCCTTTTCTCCAATGCTATCTGTAATGATTCAAGTAGGAGGATCATTTTGAGCTTCTGTTTCGCCCAGGTGTTGAGGGGTATTGGAAACGAATAATAGTTCACAAACCAGCAGTTATGGAAGAGTTACCATTCTTTGGTGCTTTAGCCTGGAGATCTTGTTAATCGAGTCATAGAACACGAGGGAAAGAGCTCATCAGCATGCAAGTCGATACTTGCTCATTTATTTAGCTTGCACATGGCCAAATATATATAGTATATAGACATGATCTTGCACATGGCCAAATATATATAGTATATAGACATGATCTTGCACATGGCCAAATATATATAGTATATAGACATGATCTTGCACATGGCCAAATATATATAGTATATAGACATGATCTTGCACATGGCCAAATATATATAGTATATAGACATGATTTACTGAACATTGATAACTTGATACATTAATTAATTGGTGGATCTCTAGCCTGGAGCTCGTGTTACTGGAGTCATAGAACGCGAGGGAAAGAGCTCATCAGCATGCAAGTTGATACTTGCTCATTTGTTTAGCTTGCACATCGCCAAATATATATAGTATATAGACATGATTTACTGAACATTGATAACATGATACATTAATTAATTGGTGGATCTCTAGCCTGGAGCTCTTGTTACTCGAGTCATAGAATGCGAGGGAAAGAGCTCATTAGCATGCAAGTCGATATTGGCTCATTTGTTTAGCATGCACATCGCCAAATATATATGGTATATAGACATGATTTACTAAACATTGATAACATGATATATTAATTAATTGGTGGATCATTTAATTCTTGAGACTTGTCGTGAACTTATTTACTAATTAATCCCTTGTTTAGCTGAAACTGGCTGGTCTATTGGATGTTATTATTTTATATTTAGTCCTTGTTTGAGCCTCATTTTTGATTAAAAATGTGTTTTGGAATGGTGAGTTTTTGGAGAATGTGTAGTTTAAAAATAAAGAAAAGTTTTTGATTTATGTGTAATTTTATTTTATTGATGAATGTGTGGTTGAAAAGAAGAAGGAGAAAAATGTATTTTTGATCTAGTATTTATTAAATGTTAAAATTCATAAAAATACATTATGCTCAATCCCAAATAAATAAAGTTGTTCATTTTTAGTTATTGATAACTTCTCTACATTCAGCCCTTGTTTGATATCTATTTTTTTTCAAAATGTATTTTATTTTTTAAATTACACATTCTTTAATAAAATAATATTACACTCAAAACTAAAACATTTTCTTAATTCTTAACGACATATTCTTCATCAATTGATTATTTCAAAATGCATTCTTACTTAAAAATGGGAAACAAACTGGGATTCAATTTTGAGATGAATACTCATTTATTCA